CTCAGTGATATACAGACAGACACTCCCACACTCAGTGATATACAGACAGACACTCCCACACTCAGTGATATACAGACACTCCCACACTCAGTGATATACAGACAGACACTATACACACACACAGACTGATGCTTCTCACGTACACACTCACAGACAGATGTTTCACACACACACACACACACGCACACACCCACACCCACACACCCACCCACAGACACCCCCCTTCCCCCTTACACAGACAGACACTCCACACACACAGACAAACACACACAGACAAACACACACACACACACACACACACACACACACACGCACACACGCACGCACGCACACCTCCCTTCCCCACTACACAGACACAAACACACACAGACACATACACACACAGACAGACAGACACACAGACAGACACACACAGACAGACACTCCCACACTCAGTGATAGACACTCCACTCACAGATGTTTCACACTCACACACAGACAGACACACACACAGACAGACACACACAGACAGACACTCCCACACTCAGTGATAGACACTCCACACACAGATGCTTCATACACACACAGACAGACACCTCACTGACATACTCTTCGCACACACAGACACTACACACAATCAGACATTCCACACACAAGCATACATGCATGAATGCACACACACACGCACGCATGGTGACACACACACACGCACGCATGGTCACTCGCACACACACACACACACGCACACGCAGGCACACACGCTCACACATGCATACACTCTAACACAGAGACAATACACACACACACACTCACACAACACACTGGCACCCGCTGCACACCATTATTTGGTGGACCTATGCAGATGTATTAGAGGTGGGGGCATGGGGTAGGATCAGAAGAAGAATTAGATTCTCACTGCAGTTTTCTTACGACAAATCTGTAAATTAATTGCAAGGCAGGTCTTCTTACAACTGCTGTACCCTTCCACAGAATTACTTCCAAAGGTCTGACCATTAGCCGATACCCCATGGAGATTGCACGCTACAAGATGATAAAACATGTGGGAGAAAAACATAATGAACAGAACCCAGAGAGGTAAGAGCGGGGAAGATTATTAGCTTTGTGCGAGGGTCTTCTTGCATGGATTGTTAGACAAATAGTCTGATGTGGTTTGCTCCTTCTTTACTATCAAACGTCTGTTGTCCTTATCTGTCGGCCTTTTTGTGTTTTTTTACTCTCTTGTAATATCTCTAATCTATTGCACTTATACAACTTAATTGTGCTGCAAATGCCATAAAACACTTACTAAAAAAAAGAATTTTTATGATAATAAATATTTACTTGACTTGGGGTAAGAATACATAGGTAACTACATTATTGTGGATGATTGGTTTGTGGTTCTTCCCAGTAAATAAAGAAAAGGCTGCTCTAATCATCCCCATTCTAGCTGTGAACTGTTTTGCAACAGTGTCCTGGTATTTCTTTTGTTGTATTTCAGCACAATACAATTGTGTCATCCCTAAAAGCATCTACTGTCTCCCCCCCTTCCCCCATATATGCATCATCTGTTCCACTGAAGCTGTTGAGTAGAGGACAAGCTGTCTCTGTGAGTTCTAAAGGGCTTTGTTGTTGTTTTTTGTAAGGTTTTACAATGATCGCAACTGCGTAAGGTTTTACAACTATCGCAACTGCGTAAGGTCATGTGAGCGCCAAGAGGTGAATGTCAACAGAGAAGTCCAAACGGGGAATCAGGCTTACTCTGCTTTCCTCTCTGGCCTCAGCAGCACAAAGTCTGCTTCGACTATCAAGACACCCCGGAAACAGCAGTTCACAAGAGAGTGACAAACATACAAAAGAAGTAGAGGAAAATGACGATAGGATTGGGAAAGAAAAAGCAGCAGTTCCTCCCATGTTGTTCCGGCACAATATGGGCATTGCATTAAATCCCATTTACAATTCTACTGTGCTTAATACAACCTGACATGGCAGAAAGAGTTATAGAGAAAGAATTGATATCAGAAAGGATCTTGAAAATCAGAATACAGAAAGCGCAAAAAAGGGAATCTATCATCCAAGTTTACGCCCCTTGTAATGACACATACTCAATGGAAGATAAAGAAGAATTTTTTCAGAAGTTGGCAGACACCTTAGTAATCATAATGGGAGACTTTAATGGACTCGTAGGCCCAAGAAGAACACCATTGGAAAACTGCCTTGGACCACACGGTGACACCAGTTCAGATTGGAACTATAATGGGGGAACAACTATTAGCTCTCTGTGCAGAGTATGAATTATGCATCACAAATACTTTTTACCAGCACAGGCCATGTCAAACTCAGTCGTGGTACAAATGGAACAACCTAAAAATTTCCTCACCAATAGACTTCATATTGAGACGAATCACCCATAGAACAAAAACAACTGATACAAGATCTATCACCTTTGATACAGATCACCGACCAATGATGATAATGAGTAAAGAGAAAAAAAGACCCATATGAAAACAAAAGAAGAAACATTCAGAGAAAATTAATTTACGAAAACTCAATGAAGGGGGCAATGTGCAGAAAGTTGAGATGAGATCACAAAGAGACTAGAAAAACAAGACAACAATTTGATGAATGTTGAAGAAACATGGATTCTCTTTAAAAACCTGCCAACAGAAACACTGACAAAGTATGTGGAAAGAAGAGAATTGGGAGAGGATACATGAAAGGAACACCATGGTGGAATGACAGCGTTAAAGAGGCCATCAAAGAAAAGAAGAAACTTTTTCAGAATGGGCAAAATCCAAGGACGAAAACGACTACATGCAATTCAGGCTAGCATGAAGGAACTGCAAAAAAGTTTGTAGAGTATCAAAAAATGAATCTTGGACAAAATATGGAGAACACTTAAGCAACTGTGCCATAAATCACCGCGTGACTTCTACAGAAGTGTAAAATCAATGAGGCTCAGAGAAGAACCGTACGACCCAATAGCTATAATTAATGACAAAACGGGAAACCCCATTATGGACAGCTCCAAAATTAAATCTTGATGGAGGGAATATTTCTCAGAACTCTTGAACACCACTCAAAAGCAAACAAATAAAGAATTCCAACCAAGTCTCCCAGAGGAAGAAGAACCTACCATCCTACCATCAGAGGTCAGACAAACAGTTAAAACCAGCCCAAAAAACAGAAGCGCAGGAATAGATGAGCTCTCCTCGGAGACCATCCTAGCATGTGGTGAAACTGGAATAACGTGGCTCACAAAAACCTTCCTGAAAACACGGACAGAAAGAAAAGTTCCCGGCAACTGGCAAAAAGGGATCATAGTACCAATCTGGAGGAAGAAAGGCAGTAAGAGAGACTGTGGAATGTATAGAGGCATTTCACTGCTAAGCCATGTGGGCAAGATGTTCGCCAAGATGTTGGAATGGCGAATAAGACACAAAGTGGAACCATTTCTGTGTGAGGCCCAAATGGGATTTAGAAATGGAAGAGGATGCACCGACGCAATATTTGTCCTACGACAAATGTACGAAAGGGTAATAGAACACAACAGGGAACTAAATATAGTATTTATCAACCAGGAGAAAGCGTTCGACAGAGTAAGCAGAAACAAGCTGTGGAAAGAACTCAAAAACTACACTGTAAGAGGCCAACTGCCTGATTACATCCGTGTCATTTTTACGAGAACAGCATAAGTGTAGTAAGAATGTCAGAGGGACTCACAGAATGGCTCGAGATAACATCAGGAGTAAGGCAAGGTTGTGTCCTGTCACCACTACTATTTATCATATATATGGATAGAATTTCAAAAGAGGCCAACACAGGACCAGATGCCCTAAAAGAATTACTCTTCGCTGATGACCAAAGGCTGGCACACAAAGATGAACAAAGTCTCCAACACCACACCACCAGATTAAACGAAGAATGTAACAACTACAACATGAAGATCAAAATCAACAAAACAGAGACAATGAAAGTAAGCAGAAAGCCAGAACCACTCAGGATATACGTCAACAACAACAGTCTCAGACAGGTCCAAGAATTTAAGTACCTCGGAAGTATATTCACAGAGGATGGGGGACTAAACAGAGAAATTGAAACACGAGTACAAAAGGCCAATAATGTTAGTTACCAGCTTACTCCACTACTGAAACATCCTAACAACATCCCCATGACAGCAAATTTCAAAATGATCAACACCATATTCATCCCAACACTCACTTATCAATGCCAAACATGGACCACGAACAAGACATTAGAGCAAAGAATTACAACATGTGAAATGCGATGCCTTAGAAAAGCAATAAACAAGACCAGGCGAGACAAAATTAGAAACTCAGTAATCCGAGAAATGGTGGGCACAAAAGATGTCATGCATCACATCCAACACCAAAGAATCAAATGGTTAGGACATCTCCTACGATTACCAACACACCATCCAGCACAACGTGCCTATATCCAAAAATTTGATGGCAACAAGGCTAGAGGGCGACCGAGAAAGACCTGGATAGATGTAGTCAGGGAAACATTAACCACCCACAGCATCCCCCAGACCCAAGCTCTCCGGCTGGCGACAGAGAGACTTCTCTTTCTTTCCGTGCCACCCAAAAGGGTATAAGCGGTGGATAAAACAAACATAAAACAGACACTGTGCTTAAGAACGTGTAAATATCCCCCCTTTGGGAATAGCCTAAAGACAACTTCAGTCAGTAGCCCTGCCATGGTTGGGGGTCTGTGGGTTTTAAAGGGCTTAAAGTAAGGTTGTTTTCTGTATTATCTCTAGTTGTAGAAAAGTGTGCGTGGCATTTAATGCACTTGTTTATCCTTTTTCGTTTTAGTTTTAGGATCTAGTTTGAAAAAGACGTGACGAACAGAAAGTACATTCATCTGTCTTTAGGTTTACTTTGTTGCGCAATGTGAAGCAGCGAATGTCCAAGGATGGACTGACCACACTCAAGTACCATCTACAGCAGGTAGATGAAATGCCCACCCATACACGATTACAGGTTCTAATAAATGAGGCGGAAGTACGAAAGGTAAGATATCCATGATGTGGGCTTGACGCCCATTTTCTGTGATTCATAATTTTTTTTAAAGAGATGAGACCTCACGTTTAATGTCCAGCTCCAATAGAACTTATTAAAGGTTGCTAGTTTCAGCACTTTTGTTTTTTTATAAATAGGTGTGCTAAAGAAAAGGTGGACATGAACATAAGAAAAGTACACCAGATAGGCAAAGAGCCATGGGAAAGCTACACAGCCTATGGACCAGCCTATCTATCTTTGAACGAACATGGAGCATTCTTTTTGCATTTAATTGCAAAAGTCAGATAATTATTTTTGAAAGAGAACTTTGGATCCAAACCTTGTACTAGTAGTTTAATCAATGTCGTGAAGGAAAAGTTGAGTTTTTTTCGTTTCTCGTGCTGGCCAATGGCTTTGACATAACAAGTTGACTGCTTCCTTCTTGAACTGCCCCAGGGAGGAAGGTCTTTGATAGGCCACTGGTTCTTGTCACATAACCATACCATTGAAGTTTTCTTTTCTTGATCGTTGGTAGCAGCTTTTCAAAATGTTTCATGTGCTAGGATAAGATTATCTGTCCTGAAAGGGCGAGATGGCAAGCAGAGGGAGGTGTGCATGTACAGACAGCTTTGTTGTGTGAATAAATGGGTTGTGTAGGCCATGAAGACTGGTTTCCAGCTCAATTTGTGAGGGTACCTTTCTCATGTTTGAGGTTAACAGTAAGGCCACAATTTTTGTCTTTATTGATCACGGCTTACCGGTAGTGAAATTTTAGTTGTAGCGGGGGGTTCCCCGCCGAGCGCCTTATCATGTGGGGGTCACAGGGGTCAGCTCCCTGTCTGGGCTAACTTCATTTTTGGTACTTTTCAAAGTACAGTTTTAGGTGTATCCTTGCATTTATGGTAATTATCATGTAAAGCACCCAAACCACGCTTTTTAGCTCTTGAGACTCAAAAAAGAACGGACATTGTAACAGACAGATCGGGTGGGTGGTTGGTGGGTGCTCTGGTGTGGTTTGCTTATTCTTTCCTATCAAACATCTATCGTCCTTATCTCCCCTTCTTCTTTTTTGTGTTTGTTACTCTCTTGTCACTCCTCTTATCTTCTGGCGCTCATATGACCTTATGCAGTTGCGAGCGCTGAAAAACCTCTACTAAAGCTAAACAGAGTGGCGACAGGGAGCTGACCCCCGTGACCTCTACATGATAAGACGCTCGGCGGGGAACCCCCCGCTGCCACTAAATTTCCATTTCTGGTTCGCAGCAGATGATAGGTGCAGTCAATTACAAATCTTTGATTAAGGTGTGGAAGAGGTCATTGGTGCATCCTACTTCTTTTCTTTCCCTTTGTTGTTTCTGTCAGTCAGTCTTGCTTTATCGCTGCAGTTATGAAAAAAACTTATCGAGTCCTTAACACAACCTGTGAATTGAACATCTTGCATAGAATGTTATAATGAGTATCTCTCTCCCTGTCTTTCCCTCCACAGTCGTAGCAGTGTGAGTGTCAGAATGTCATCATAGCCGAGACAACGCTCATCTGGGATTCCATTTTCTCCATATCACCGAGAGAGAGACAAAGGGTCTTTCTCTCATCCTGGACCAAACAAATGATATCTGTGTGTGTGTGTGTGTTTTGTGTGTGTATGTGTGTGCATGCGTGCGTGCGTACGTGCGTTGTGTGTGTGTGTTTGCATGCGCGAGAGCGCACATCTGTATATGTGTATGTCACAAATCAATACATGGGATGTGTATATTGTTCCATGAACCGCTCGTGAGCTGAGTGCTGTTTTGCACAAACTTCAGCTTTTGACTTTTGGAATTTTTTGCAACAACTGTCAAGGCTGTTGAAGAATCTTTCCCTTTGAGCCCTACATCATTACAGGAAATGCTTGTGCTCCATAGTAGCTCGCTTTCATACGCTGGATCCTGTTCTTTTTTTGTGTCTGGAATTTAGTGCTTTCAAAGTGATTTTCGTCAACAGGGCCTACTGGAAAAAAATGGATTTTGTACAAGATAGCACCGAGCTTGCGCTCGACCTTCTCAGATGTTCTTATCTACACAGGGTATTGACATATCAAGGACTGCTCTAGTATTGTCTGTTGGCCTGGGGAGGTGTCATGTGTGGCCAGGGCTGGCGTTGAAGTCATCACATCCGAACATCAGAACTTTTGTCACAGATTCGTACCTATCATCGATATATACAGGCATAATATACAACATGCTGGTGTTTATGTCAATATAGGTTGGTGGGCCTGACCGTTAAGCGAAAACAGTCCCACGCTTCTTTTGGACATAGGTGGTAGTACCTGAGGTCCATCCGGTCTTGTCGTCTGTGAATTATTGTTCCAGTGTTTTGTGAATGCGACATGTAAAAAGTAGATTAAAAACTTGCCAAGTATATTGAAGTTCAAATTACAGTTTGGATTACTGTCTCCACATTCTTTGCAAAGGTGGTTTTCTGCCACTTTTGTTTAGCTCTATATACATTACATGGCTCTCATTCCTAGTTTGGATACAGCGATGAATGACAGCTTGATCTAATGACCCTTTTACTTGTTGCAAGTCCAATATTTTCAGTGCAGATGCTATGTATGTAATTATAGAATCATCGTAACTACACTCTGTCAAGATTCAGTGGATTACGGTAGGATCATAGCTCATTCTATGCAGATAGGGCCTTCTACAGTTCATTATTGTAGTGTCAAACTGAGTTTTCTTTTTCTGTACCCGAGAAGTGAAAATGGTCTTGGAGTGTGTTGGAAAGAGTGATGGATTTGTCTCAGACAAAGTTTGAGACACCAGTTTGTGGTGTATCCCTGACAACATTTGAGATAGAAATTAAATCTACGGCTTATAATTTGCCTGAGTCTCACATTTCATTTTTCCTCTGGCAAAATGAACAGAGATGTGTGTTGGTAGGATATGCCCTAGAATTCTACTAGCGCCATGCAGACTTTGCTCTGCATATTAACACATACCATTGTATTGTACATTCCTGCCACTGTTCCATATTTCTTGTGACTGAACCAGCACTGGGTTGCACTTATAGTTTATTGTTATGAAGTAGCATGCTGCAAACTGAAATATTCTTCAAATAACTTGTTAATGTTTTCTTGTGAATGAAGGCCTTTCATAATTGCTACTTTGCCATGAAACTTGGATTGGTTTGATGACAACTTGTCGCAAAATGTGCTTTCTGCTTATGATCACTGAATTTGAAATATGAAATCGCATTGTATAATGGCAAATGTTTTATTTGTGCGAATATAAAGGAAAGATTGAGTGCTATCTTCGTTGGAGATTGATTTTGGAAGTAACTCTGAAGAACCAAAAAAGTGCAAGCTTCTTCTGGGGCAGAGCAATTTTCCCTTACTGACCTATCACCTTTCACCTTTGACTTACATTCCTGTTTCTGCACTTGAAAAGATTCCTTGATTATTGATGCTGTGTGCGGTTCCAAGATAGAATTACAGTTGTCCTGGCATCAGGACTTTTGTGTTTTTAAGTATTATTCTAGTATAAGTAGAATTTCGTTATAAGCTGAGTCATAAGACAGTTGTATTTAAAGCCTCAAATACAACACACACAAAATGTTAATTGTATGGCTTTGAACTTACCTGTTTTATAATTTCTCTAGTGTTCTGGGCTCTTGCAGCTTCAGCAGTTTGTATTATAAAGAGCGCGGTGTTTGTGTTTTGAACAGTCTTGTGTTGTGATAGCTTTGTCCTCCCTCATCCCTGTCACATTGAGAGCGTGGTCTCCGCCTGTAGACTCACATATCAGGTGATCCACTGGTAGATCTTTTTTCGATTGTAAGGTGTTTGTTCATTTTTGGGGCAAAAGTAGGCCTATAGGGTCTGAAAGGAATTGAATCTAATTTCAATTGTCCGTGCTGATTTTTCACATTCTAACATTTTACCATTGGTCTATTTATGTTCTTTTACACTTGAACAGTCTTTCGAGATCATAATGTTCACAGAGTTCCTTAACTTGGAATGGCCTTTTAGCTGGATGATATTGCATGATGTCACCCTTCCGGACAATTTATAATTCAGTGGCTCGGTAGAGGGTGAAACATGCTTTTTCCTAAACATAGTTCGGGTACATTATTGTCATATGTGCTTATCATAATTATTGAGCATTAAGATCTGAGACCAATGAAAAGAATTTGATTCAACAGAGAGTACTCAAAAGATACTCTGTGTGATTTTTTACTCTGTGTCCACTTTTGACCTTTGACTCTGTGATCTAATCATGACAGGCGTGATGAAATTCAAGCGTTTGCTTTGATAACCATTTGGTTTAGAACATTTTGTACTCTCCAATAATGACTAGTGCAACTTTAAGGAGACTGGTTTTGAATATTTATCTAGTCTTTAGCAATGGCAATTTAAAAGTTATTTGACGTCAGGCTTTATACCAAAGAGAGATTCCACTTTGTTTAGTATAAGCTTTAATTTTCTGGAGACGTACAGCATTATACATTTGTATTTGTACTTTGGAGATCCAGAAGGCAAGCTGAAGTAAAATGAGAACCTTTGTTGTGTAGCTCAGAGTTAGAGATTCCCAGCCAAAGGAATATAACAGTCATAATTTTGGTTGAGATCACGTTCATCTGGCTCCAAGTCTTGTTCATTATGAAAAAAAAATTATTTTAGTTAGTAATTTTGAGGAGTTTTTAAAATAAATTTTATCTCAGGATTAGTTTACATAACCCATGATTATTTTTCATATTGTGGTTGCAAGGTTCTTGTCTCTTTACCTTAACTCTTCAGAGGGCTTGATTTGAATACCACACTGGCGTCTTTGGTGCAGCGGTTAGGCATTTCACTCAGGAGACCTGAGTTAAGTTCCCAAGTGGGGAGAATTTTTATAGAGTATCTTATTCTTTCTGCTGGGATCTTTTATCCATCTCTACCCGGTTGGCTCCAAAATACTTTGAATTGGGTCAATGGGGCGTAAAACAGACACCTTGTGCAGTTACGAGGACCGCAAAACTTTTACCAAAACAAAATAAAAAGACTTACATTTTGAATACCACAAGGATATTATTTCTGCTTCAAAGAAGGCACTTCCGACCAGGTCTCTGATGTGCTTGATAAGTCAGTTTGATTGAAAAAAAAATGTTGTAATATCTTCTCAAGTTACTGAAGCTATTACAAATAAGATGTGTACAACGCATGTGTGCCTGTGCAACTATGTGTTCATGAGGATGTAGATCGATGTGTGTAGGGTGTTGAGTGGGGGAAGAGCATTTGTTTTCTGTGCACTGAAATGAGAAATTGTATGAATATTTGTGCACTCTTATCAGTGAATATATGTTTTCTTTATATATTTGTTTATGTTACATAGAAGAGATTTTATTTAGCTTGTCCCGGTGTGCATTAGCTCATTTTTCTTTTGTAAATTCAGTTTGGGAACACAGTATGTTCACCAAGAATATTATACTTTGCTGCGTGGTGTATGAGAGCTCAAGACGTCTGGGGCTCTGAGGAAAGTGTCATTGTGCATGGTTTAGAAAATGTTTCACTTGAGAACAAAATGTGCTACTTTGTGATGTAGGTGGCGTTGTGGTTAAGCTCTTGGACTTGCAACCGTAAGATTGTAGTTTTAAATTCTGTCTGGGGCCCGACGTTGTGTCCTTGGGAAAGGCACTTAACACAAATTGTTCTCGCATCACTCAGGTGGGAATGGGTACGCAGCTATAGACCGTGAAAGTCTTGTCAGCTTGTTCGTGTTTGAGTGCTTAATCAGTTGATTGCACTGTGTGCTTCCCAGGAAGCCAGAATGTTCTCTCATAAATGGGATATTTTTGGTGAACTGTTGAACGCAGTTGTAATTTACTGCTAGTAAGTATAGTAATTGTACAAAAGGACCAACATTTCATCTGGAGCGGATTGGGATAGTGACTTTTCCAACAAAGAGGATGATAGAGTAGACCACCATCACCACTCTTTGTGATAAAACAGCAAGTGCAGCAAATAATATATGAGTTGTCCACGGGAAAAATAGGCATAGTCACAAACTGGAAATTGTGAGGGTGTCAATTTAAAAAGCTTGTGGACTCATAACTTCATATTTGTTTAATTGCTGGTTTTTTTTGTTAATGTTTGTTGAATGGAAAATCTAACAACAATAATCAACCAACAGTTGAACAGAAATAAAGTTATGAGTCGACATGCCCTCTAAATTGATACCCTCACAATTTTCAGTTGTGACTGTTTCCGTTTTTTCTGTGGACTCGTATAATAACATCACTGTATTAGTACACCAGCAGAGCTGGTTATGTTTTTGTTTACTACTTGGCAAGATTAATCAATAGTCAATACAAAGCATCAGTTTTATTTGAGATGCTTAACCCCTTTGTTGCCTATATGACGTACGCTGTTCATCATATTTTCTTACATGGCAAATGAGCCAAAATGCTGCTGTGACGTACGCCAATCGATCGTCATAGGTTGTATTCCGCATACTGCTTCTATTAGATGTATTTCGTAAAATTAATCGCACCTTCGCTTTGGGGAATGTTTATTCTGCAGAAAGAAAATTTTTCCTTTTAGATATAGTTAGTAGTATTTGAAAATCGGACAGGGATCCAAAATTGTTCCAGGTACAGCACGAACTGACTGACCCTGTGAAGGGGTTAAGCACTCTTTAATTTGTATTTCGGTGCAGCTTATAGTGATATTCTTTCGCATCAACTTTGATTCAGTCTTAATTTAGAATCTACATCATAGAGTGCAAGTTCAAACAGTATAGGTGATGACAGGCTTACTGATAGTAATGTACAGAGTTCAAAAAGAGGAAATTGGACAATTTAGTAATGAGTAAACAAGTAACGATAATTTAGAACCTGAATGTGAAATGTGGCTGATTCATTTTGCTTTTCTTTTATGTTATCTGTGCTGTGCGTATTTTGTTGTGACAAACTAGCAAGATATTTTTAATGTTTCGTCTTAAAAGCACATGATCCTTATTGGTATCAGTGTGTATTGCCTATTAATTTTTATTTACCCCCCAGTTGTAATGATTCCTTGGAAGTTCCAGCACCGTAATGGTGCAGACTGAGGGATGGAGGTGTTTGGGGGTGTGCAGTGTGGAAAGGTTTTGAAAATGAAAAGAACTGAATGGGAGAAAATGGCAACATGCCAGACATTATTAGGTAATGGATACTATTTTTACTATACTTTTTACTTACGTGCATTTCTGTGCCTAGTCAGCCTTCTCTGTGCCAGGTTGTGATAAGAATAGCACTTTGTATTCTGAAGTCTGTGATGGAGAAGAGGAGGAGAATTTGTGAGGCAGGAGTTCTGGGGTGGGGTTGGGGGTGGGTGGATAAAAGGGCGTTTGTTGACTTGTTTTGCGAAAGTTCAAGGTTGGAAAGGAATTCATTCAACTTTAAATTTAAACTTCTCGTGGATAAATGTCTTTCTCTTTTTTTTTCTTTTTTCCCCCAATTCTAACCTTTTTTCTTTGAATGATTTATATTCTTGCATGTGTGTACAGTCATTCTAGGTCATGGAGGTACACATCGCCAGCTACAAGTTGGGAAGTCTTTGTTTTTTTAATTTTGGAGAACATCAGAGATAAAAGAGAGGACCCAAATCAGAACTATGACTTCGGCATTCATTGTTTTAAAAGAAATGAAGGAAAAAACCCCACAAAAAACATAAGATAGAAAATAACAAAACAAAGTGAAACTATTTTGTAAGATGCCCCTAGATGTCGATATGCGAGTAACCCGCTTTATTTGAAAAACCCCCAGAGACTGATTTAGTTCATTATGGGACAGTGGGATGACACTGATGACGTGCTCTGTCATTCTGTTGTTCTGTCCATCTAGATAATAAAGGTACTTATGTACAGTTATTTCAGGCCATGACGGTATGAATTAATGTTCTGTCTTTATAAATCATGAAATACAAGTGTTCTGTTATTCTAGAAGGTGAACATTTTTTAAGTGTTCTGTAATTTTATATCATGAAGGTACGCTTATATATTCTATCGTCATCCTAGATCCTGGAGGTACCCATTCACAGTCGATCTAGTTTCCAAAACAGGTGTTCTTTCCCTTTTATGCAAAAGTGTTGTGAGTGTAGTCAGGGGGCTGTATCCCGTCGGACAGTCCTGAGAAACACACTCCAACCATCACCCCGTCCCACTGGGACTTTGACAGGGCAGTAACAATGGCTGCCCTGAGGTACCCATGCCTGCACGTACTGAAAGATATTACTGTATATGTTTGCCTCTAGGACAATCTAACATACAATTTGAGGGGTGGGGGAGTTGTACTTTTGACTCCAAAATGGCCCATTTTGTAGGTCAAGCACTTAATAATAAGAGGTAATTCCTCACATACTGGAGGGGGCCCAGAATGCATGAAATCAAGTTTGGCTTCAACTTTTGTGTCTTACCCAAGAGATTGATTTAATCTGTGAGGCCCGATCCTGGCTGTATATTACGCGCAGTACACACAGGGGTATACTTTTGGACGACAATGACTATGACAATCTTTATTCCTCTCACAGGGAGAAATTTGTCATGGTCGTTTACAATGGCAGTAGATGTTACAAAGGTTAAGTGTACTCTCGCATTTACACAACAAGGCAGGACCTCACTTTATTAAGAATTTGCCCATATTATAAGCGAGTATATACTGTAAGTTAACGTTTTACTGGAAGGGTTTGGTGCTAGTGTGTTACTTTGTACTCTTCTGATAATATGACGGGCAGGAGGTGGGGTTTCTAGACTTCACTACTCTTCATCAGCTGGCTCAGTAGAGTGGTCAGTGCTCCTGTTTTTAATCAGTGCAGACTCTTAGTCTTAGAGAGTCTTAAGTCCTGGGTAAACTAACACAGGTCTGGTGCTTACTTGTAAATTTTCACCAATTCATTTATTGATAGTTGTCAAATGTATTCTGACATCGATGTTGTGACTTATATATTTTTTTTTTGTTTCCTTGGTTTTGTTGTGTTTTGTATTTAGGAACATTGAATCTGAAGGTTTGTTATGGATGTACTTTGTAATCTTTTGCTAGTTGTACTTTTTAAACTGAGTGCCTGACATTTAGCATAGCTCTGTTGATTTTTTTATATGAATTGTGCAGGATGTGCCCATGAATAAGTTCCAACCAAATAATTTATCTGAGTGAGTGTTAAACATATTTTGTGTGGGTTTGTGAACAGGTGCCATGATATGCATACATGATAACAGCTAAAAACTGAGTTTGTCAGAGAAATTAGTCTGTTTTGGGTTTGTTAGGTTGTTATTTTTTTTTGTATACCAGCTTCTCCACAGGCCTCTGCAGTCTACACCCTTTCTTTGATTTTTATTGTGAAGGAGGTCCCTCTTGTAATTTTTCGTCCCTGGGGTTGGGGCATGAGAAACTGGCTTGACCGCAGCTAGTTTGTGAGTTTCAAAGACATTCCAATTTGAAAATTGTGTAAAAACGAAGAGCAGCCACGTTACCTATATGTACTCGATGTTGATGCATTCTTCGCCTGATTTTGGAAGAATTATGAATGAAACGTTCACTGGCTTAACTATTTTTCTCACATGTGTATATAACTTGTCCTCCTCATTGTGTATGTCTACATCACCTTACCTCCCTTACTCTTGTTGAAGTCTCACTTAGATTCACAGATCATTATAATAGTCAATACTTACACAGCATTGAAGTAGGCTACCTGTTAGTCACTCATATTTGAAATAGGCATTACTATGTTCGACTAGTTGTTGGTAACGTTTTATTTATAATCTGTTCTTTTATTTTATTTATGTGTGTGGATAAAACAGTGTATGGAATGTTGCTGAGAGAAAAAAAACAACCTACTTTTGGGAATTTTTTTGGGGTCCCCTCTAAAGTCATGATGACTTTGCTGTGAGTATAAATGTGTCCTAATGTGTAGACTGAGATATGTCAAGCGGGAACAGCAGAGAGTACAGGTCAGGACATAACCTTTTTAAAAAACGTACGCTGTTTCAGAGCTCAATCTAATCATGTGTTCATGTAAGGCACAAGATATTATTATGTACGATGCTGTAAATCTTTGTCTGGAGATTTGATGTCTTGATACTCTGAATTGTTCCACCCAAAAAAGGTGCCCTCTGTCCATTCTGTTCCACATATTATTACACAGATATCAGGAAAAACGTTCAGCTCATCTATGGGGCTAAATAAAAGTTTCGCCGAAACTATAGAGGGCTGTTTGGAAATAGGAAGCTTGATCCAATGTTGTTATGTAGCTTACTGTCTAGGAATAGGAAACTGAATAATAGATCCAACCATACCCCAGATGCAGTCTTAGAATAGGACGCCGGATCCAACCTTGTCTTATATAATATATATTTGCTGTTTGGGTGTAGGAAGGTATATCCAACTTTGATCTGTAGACCACTGTCTGGGACTAAAAAGCGAGATATCTAATTGTACCCGACAAAGCACTTTGTTGGAGTAGGAGCTAGATATTTAAATATGTTGCCCTGTAGTATAGAGTGCCAGAAATTGGAAACCCACAAATGAAGGGAAGGGCTAATAAAACTAGTTTTTTTATGTAAGGAACTGCAAGGATATGACATTATGACTATTGTTTTCTGTTCAGTTATGTATTTGCTGTGCTCTTGCTTCTGGTTCAGGGCCATGTGGTCCTTCAAGTATATGTGTTGGAAGTGGTTCTCCTTAAGTGTATGGGGACAGAGGACCGTGATGCTGTGTCTCTTTTGGTCCATGGCCTGATTTCTCTAAGGATGTTGGGATGCATGTAGCTATTTTTGAGTGAGAGAGAGGGGGATGGGGGGGAGGGAGGGAGGGATATATATAGAGAGAGAGAGAGAGAGAGAAAGAGGGAGAGAGAGGGAGCGAGATAGAAAGGAAAAGAGAGAGAAAGGGAGATAGAGAGAGACTGACAGATAGGTAGACTGACTGCTTGTATTCTTATTTCGTGTGTGACATATATTTACATTATGTCTAATGCACAGTGCATGCCACCAATCGAATTCATTTGATTGAATTGGAGCCAGTGTGATTTTTCTCCTAAAAGCTACTATTTTGGAACAATTTGACCAAATTTGACTAAATTCAACTGTGAACATCAAAACCAAAAGCGTTTGTTTGCCATGGTTGTCAATCGAATTGGTTGCAATGTGCCGAAATGGTAGCTTTTGTCCCTCTATGGTGGAAAATCTGGCAGGTTCCTGACTCAATTCGATTTTATAGTGTGCACTGGGTCTGTACGATATGCCGTAGATTCTTCTCTTTCTACACTGCGGAGCCCAAAATAGCAGACTGAGCTTAAACTCTTGCCTGACCTAGTCTAACACCTGAAATGCTTCATTTTCAACTGAGTTTTCTTTTGTATTGAAAATTATTTGTTAAGTCCAAAGTTGACTAATGTTCATGCATGTTTCTGGACTTGCTAAATTCGAAATATAATGGTGAGCTGCATGTATGGAAGCATTGCCCAAATTTGTGTGTCTTTTCTAAAAGCAGTTTTCTCTGGGGGGGGTTGCTTTATTTTTTCAACCATTCTGCTTCAGATTTAAACCATTTTTTCTTTGAATATTTGAACAGTACTTGGGTGCTCAATTAGCCCAGTTAATATCAAGCTGGACTACAGAGCAGTCGGCCTTGGTTCAGTTCCTCAATGGGTCATTTTGAACTATGGTTGATTCGGGGAGTTTTAAGCTCAGTCTTCCTATTGGAGATGGGCATGGAATTCAAAGATACCTCCTCTTAGATAATCTCAGTGTTGAAGTTAAATCTATACAAAGACAACGACAATGGACTGTATAAATATTATAGATAATTAGAAGGACTCAATTTAGGAAAAACAGCGACTCGTTGTTCGACATTTAAAGACTCAAGGGATTACACATTTATAATTTATGAAAGCTGCTATATCATATGCTGTGGCCTGAAAAGTTTTTCTAAAGTCTCTGAAATGTGATGCCATAAGAGGATTCTACAGTCGCTGTGATATGTTAACCAGGGAACTTTCTCTATAAAGTCACTCTGATCTAACAAACAGAGAAGTATTTAACGTCGTGGTGTGTTTTTACTGCTCATGAATTGTCTTTGCTGTTGTGTTGTCGTAGTAGGCGTTCGCTAGCTCATAAGTCGGTGTGTTGGTGCCGTGTTTTTATGTGTTGTGTTGGGGAATGTCTTCATAGGATTTGATTGCCTACGTTAGTTTACACATGCTCTGTGAATATGACGTGATGTTGATCATTTAGAAGCTGCTACGACTTTGCCTGTTATACTCTGTGTGGGTGTGTGCGATACGGCATTCCAGCAGAAGAAAGACCGATGTAGGCCTACTCAACAAAATAATTTACTATGTTGGGAATCAAAATTCATTTTTTTAAAATATGTGCAAAGGTTAAGAGTGTAATTAATTGCAGACGCAAGTGTATTTTTATGTTTATGTGTGTGGAGTTTTTTTGTTTTTTTTTACAATATGTACTTATGTGTTGGTTCGTATAGTTATGTGTTGGCGCATGTACTTGTATTTGGTTGGGATTTTTTGGGGGGTTATTGTTGGGTTTTTTTTGTTGTTGTATTTGTTTTGTCCATGAATATGCCAAGTGACGGTTGCAGGTTGCCTTCATGACTAATCATGTTTTGGGAATGTTACAGTTGTACATGTATTCATGATTGAGTATGTGAGGGGGAATGGTGGAGTTGTATTCCTGATTGAGTTTGTATGGGGAAATGGTGGAGTTGTGTTTATGATTGAGTTTGTATGGGAAATGTTTCAAGTTACAGTTGTCTTCTTGACTTAACCTGTCTGGGGAATGTTACAGATTTGTATTCATATCATGACAAGACTAGAATGCGGGGAGGACTTGAGCCTCAACTACAACAGCAAGACGAATACTTTCGAAGTTTATTTATAATAAATGTATGACTTACAGTCTCTTAGTTGTTATTTTATTGTTTTAAATAGTTATTTTAGGGCTTATTCGCATTTTTGTGCAGGTGGTTAGAGAGCATGCCTGTGCTTCTCTAAACACGAATTAGACATCTGCCCCACAGCGAGCCACAAATCGGAAACATGTGTTGTGTACATTTACCAGAAAGGGAGGTCCATCATAAGTTTCCGCAGCGACGATAAAGTTTTATAGTTTTTCCGACTTCGATTTCAGATCAACAGTGCTTTAGAAAGTTTGACATACTGTTGTGGATTTTTGTTTTGTTTTTTGTTCAACACCGCACGTCTTTGAATGAGAGATCCCATTGTCTGAGAATTCAGCACTTCTTGTGGTCTCATTGAACTTTCCTTTTAAATTGTAAGGGGGCTCTTGTGGCCTAGAGGTTAAGGTGTTGGCCTTAAAGGTCCCGCGTTCGAATCCGGGTAGTGAACGAAACATTTTCTTATCTAAATTTGTCTCATTTCACCTCCTTTCCTGCTCTCTAGCAATGTTCTGTCGTCTGCTTTTATCTCCTCTTTCTGCCCCCACTCCCTCATCTTCTTTGCCCCCCTCCTCTGGGCTCCTGATTCTTTCTACAGCCTTTCTACTGCTACTCCTTGACGTCTTCTTACTGCTGTCTTTCAGCCACACCTCTGATCTTCTGGTAGGAAAGATCTACACCTAGCCTTCTCGGAGAAGGGCGAAAAATCTCGGAGGGCCAGTGTGCAAGTTGCGCACGTTAAAGATCCCTTGGTGGTCTAAAATCGATAAGAGTAGGCTTCGGCCGCCACCCGGGCAAAAATTCAAAATTTCCTATCAAACTTCCTAACTACTGAAAATATTAGGTGTGTCCCGCGTTCATAATACGACCTTA